GTGTTGCTGGCTAACTTTATTATAATGTGAAAAGAGTTATATGGGTAGCAGTCAGCAAAGCTTTTCCATGGGGCTTAAGGCAGCTGACTGAAATGTCGAATGATAATTGAGGACTTCTATTGCATGAGGTACAAAAATGGCTAAGAGGGCATTCACAGTGATTTCTTCAGTGGTCTTAACCACAAGAGCTTGACAGCAATTGCTCTAAGGCATGGAGGCTACCTTGGTATGCTGGAGGGTCCAGTTGTTGACTGTAATACCTTATAGTTCAATGGTGGTTCCAGTGCTTTGGGTGTATATATAAAAAGGGAGAAGGGAATCTGATAATTGAGATGTCCAAGGGAGCTTGGTTTATTTAACTTTCTCTCTCCTTCCCTCCCTCCCTCATTTCCTTCCTTCCTTCCTTTTTACTCCCTCTTTCCTTTCCCTTCCTTCCTTCTTTCTCCCCCCCCCCCAACCTTTCCCTGCCCCTCTCCCTCTCTGTACTTCTCTTTCTTTTCATTGAGGTAACACTGGTTTATGATACTGTATATATATTACTCCCCTTTAAAGTCATGAATGCCTCTTACTGGGTATTGATTAATTCTGGGGAGAGGATTGGAGGGATCTGTTTGAGTCTTGCTGGGAGATACACTATGAATTTTACCAACATCAGTAGGAGAATTTTCCTAGAAAGACAGTGGTATCAGATTCAATTGGGACAACAGATCAGTGTCTCTATAATCAACTTTAGTAGCATCATACATAGGGCAAATAAAAGATGTTAAGGGTTCATTTAACTCTCTTAGTTGCCCTATTTTCTTTTCTTTTTTTTTTTTTTTTTTTACTGTCAACCTCTAGAATTATTTACACCTTTAAGGGAAAGAGATCTAGCTTGTTATTTTGCTAAGTAGTCTTGACCCAATAAATAGGGGCTGAGGGGCCCAGGAGAAAGGATGGGTATTTCTCAAGGGGCCTGAACAAAGGGCTGGGGAATAGATTCAGAAATAGAAAGTTTTTATTTTAGAATTCTCCACTGTTTGAATTGTCTGAGCTGTTTATAGCTATGAAGTTAATGGCTCCAATGTCAGTAAGGACGCAGAGATTCATTCCAGATCAACTGCCAATTAAGGAGGAGGATTAGGAAAAACCCTTGTAGTTCCTAGAAGTCCCATAGTGGAAATTAGAAGAAAGTGGCAAAGTCTGATTGAAAGACTGCACATATCTTGGCTTTCTTATAGTAATGCAATATCTTGTTTTCTTGTATTATTGCAAAAACTAGAAAGTTTTGGTTCCATATAAGACTAACAATTGTGGTAATTTGGTGATAAATGATTTTCTATTCTTTCTTTTAGGTGACTTGTCACAGGTACAAGTGAACTGATTTGTTACATTAGCTATTATGAAGTAGGTATAGTCTCCGATTCTACTCTTTCTTTAACTAAAAGAGGAAGGTCTTGAAGATTTAGTATTGGACTGATTCAGCTAATGAATATATAGAAGTGAAGGCTGCCCTTGTCAATTTAGCATTAAAGGGTAAACTTGAGTTTTCTTTGAAAGTGATTTGAAGCCAATTTTAATAATCACAAATTTATCAAGCTTTTGTGTGTAAGCTTACATTTATTCCAGTCAATAGGTTTAAGAGAGGCCATGGAAATGGCTTGAACTCTTGCCAAAAGTTAGGGTGTTATCTAAATCCTTTCCAGGATTTCCCCATTTGGCAAATTTCCTACAGTGTTTGACTTGACTTTTACCAGCAGGCATGTGAATTAATTGACACAGGTCAGAAAAACAAGGTTGGTAAGTCTGCATTATGATATTGAATTCTTTAGCAAGTCTGTGAGGGTGACCAGTTACTTAAGGAAGCTCTTAACTATGGCCTGCAATTTGACCTAAGTCCAGGAACTTAAGAGATCTGAGGTTTTCCTGGATCCTCAGAAGGCTTAAATTTAAAAGGCAGGTTGTCTAAAACACAAACAATGATGTAAACCAATGTTACCTCAATGATTAAAAAAAGGGGAGGTAGACTGTAATGAGTTAGAGGATAAAAGGTTCAGTCAGCAGAAGACAAAGACTGAAGCTGAGGTTTGGAAGGGTCTACATGGTCAGAAAGGGAGGTCAAAGGATGATGGTGGGTGCAGGGCTTGAGCACAAGTCGCTGTTGCCACATGGCCAGAGACAAGGGAAAAGGTACAAAGGAAGAAAGGAAGGTGGACCCATGGTGAGGACTGAGCATGTAGCTGTGGTCATAAGCCCTGGCTCAAAGAAGGTAGAGGAGGTAAGAGAGAAGCATCAGTCAATTTTAAGATCATATTTTCAAAAATAGCAATTTAAAACTTTAATGTTTGGAAGCCTCCACATATTTATCAGAATAGACTTTTCATTTGTTTTAGCAATTTCAGAACCATTGCTGTCCAATTCAGTACTAAGAGAAAAGCAAATTTGAGGAGTTCAAAGATTCCCTATAATGGTCGTTGGAGTTCTAAATTACTTTTATTTAATTCAGTCCACTTAGTTATAAATGCACATGTGGCAAGACCTTGATACTGAACCATTAAATCGGCAGGGAGTAACATTTTGAGGACACTTAGCCATGATCTCATTTCTCTTATTATTATTACCAGCAGTTCCCAGAATGGCCTGATATTTTATAGGCAACCACTGTTTTCCAGAAGGGAATTAGATTAAAGACCAAAACTCAAGTTTCTTACAACAGTGTCAGTCTGAGCACTCATAAACAAATGTTCTACCTTTAACAAAATAGCCGGTCTCCCGAAGAATCAGACTGCAAAACCAGGATAATTTCAGATAGCCTTGTCTTGGAACCAGTGGGTTTTAATAGTTTTCACTTGTACAGGTAAATGACATAATTTTTGGTGGAGAATCTGTCCCTCATAAGTCAGATAGAAGACCAGGACTGCTCTATTTTGAGCCACTTTAATTCAGGATTCTGCCCAAAGCTAACACAGATCCACCAGGATAACCCAAATCCTCAAAGGGCTGACTGTGTGCACATTAGATACCACTAGATGCACAAGGCCTTACCAACAGCAGATTGCCATATCAGCCCCGAAGAGATCAACTCCAAATTTTGGGGATCTCAGATACTGGAGAAAAGTTCCCTTCATGGCAGGAGGGAAAGCAACAAATCACTTGACTCCTTGGGCACAAACAGCTATTTTTTTGCCAACCTCAGAGTGGTCAAAGTTGATTTCTGGATTACTGTACAGAACACTAACTATGTTGACCTCAAGCAAAGGAATGAGTAATTCTAGCAACAAATAGGGTTTATTTGATAACAAAACAATAAAAGAGAAGGCAGCTTGGAGGGGAAGCCTAAGTTCATGGTGAAGCCCATGAGCGCTTCCCTGAATCCAAGGCTGATACCCCCCACATAGCCTCTGGACAGCCTCCTCCCTCAATTCCACTGGAGTGGTAAATAACATTATTTCTTGTGGGAGATGCAAAGCATGTTGGCCCCTTACTTTGCTGATTTACTCCTGCATGGACATGCTACACTCTCAATCTCTATGTTAATGTTTATGACCTCTTCCAAATTGCAGGTGGCCTACTTCTCCTTGTATACTCACATGGCAGAAAGAGGGAAGGGAAATCTCTGCCTTCTTATGAGAGACAGGTTAGGCTCCACTTTTTGTTTCTCATGACTGAATTACCTCCTAAAGGTTCCTCCAAATGTAAACATAATGGCATTAGATTTCAGTATATGAATTTTGAGGGGACACATTCAGTCTATAGCAGGGATGGAAACAGATAATTGGGAAGTTGCTAACGTATTGATTATATCTTAAAGCAGTAAGACTGGGTAAAATCATCTGGAGTTTCTGTAAAGGTGAAGAGAAGAGAAGACTCTCGAAGGTAGAGCTTTGGACACTGCGGTGTTTAGAGAATGAGAGGTAGAGGGGGAAGGGAGTCATAGAACACAGTGGAAGAGGGCAGTAGCAGTTGTGCCATGCTGCTTAGAGTGTTTGCAGTGAAGGTACAGATGTGCCCACTGGGTCGCATCCTCTGGAGGTCACTGTGATCATGCTAATCACATTTTTACAGCTTTCCAGTGGCCAGAGGGTGAAACTTAGCTCATTAACTGCATAAGTATCTGTCTCCTGTGGAGTGTGCTGTTGCTCTGGTTTGCTTCTAGGCTTTAGCATCTAATAGATGGCGAGTAAATATTTGCCTACAGGGTTGAGCTTTACATTGAAGTTTAAAGAATAATGTTTTAGAACGCTTTTAGATCACTGACCCTTCCCACCAGCCTGGATCAGTTCAAGGAATTTAATTCTGCGAATAACTTAAATGAGACACAATGAGAGGCAAAACCATTCTAGTAGAGATTTATTGTGCATCCTGAAGCCATCATGTTGTGGTGAAAAATTTCCTTGCTTAAAGTGCAGAAGGCTTGCCTCAAACTCTGGCTCCATTTTCAGCGTTGCTGAAGGTGTTGGGAGTGAGGCCTTCACACTGTCTGGATTGCAGTTCCTCAGCTGGCTCATGTAGATAATAGCAAGCTCCTCTTATAGAAGTTTTGTGAGCAGTAAATGAGCTAGTGCACATGAGAGTACTTTGTAAGTAAAGATACTAAGTGCTATTTTTGTAAAAATAACTGATAACATTACTGATTTTAAGGTAGATTACATCACTGTGTCATGAAATTCATATTGAGAATGAATGGCAACAAATTAAGGGAGGGCATAGGTCATTGAAAACTGTGGTAGCTTTCTAGAAATATAGAGGAAATTAATTTTTTTGGCATTGTTCCCTTATCAGTTCCAGATAAATGTAATCATTCTGTTAAAACTAGAGTACACTCTGACTTTAAGGTCTAGTAATCAAACCTAATTAGTGGTCTGTTTGTACCAGTGTTGCAGATATCTGAAAAAATAAAATGTAGTTGGTATTGCTTGTTTTTTTTTTTTCTTTCTTTAAAAATTTTTTTTTCAGTGACTACATTAACTTGATTTGACAAATGCTCCTCATGATGATTATTCACTTCATTTCACTTCTAGGGTAAAAATCATGGTAAGAAACTCCGAAATTACTATGCAGCTAACAGCTGTCCTCCTCCTGCCAGAATGAGCAATGTTGTGGAAACTGTGGCCACTCCAGCTGTTTCAGTCCCTCCACAGGTGAGACTCTTGTCAGGGAGGAAGCTGTCCTCTGCCTATAAGCTCATGGATGAAATTTGTCCTTCATGTGCTCATCAAGTTACAGTTGACAAATACTCCTGAAAGGTCCTACTCTATGCATTTAGCTCCTTGAACTGCAGTGCTGGATTTAATGCATGCCAAAAATCTATGAACCTTGAGATTTCTTACTAGCTTTGGTTGTGATACATGAAATGACAAAGCAAATATTGTTTTATGAGCCTTTCTCTATGTATTTCTCAAAATTCTGGGTTAAATGACCATAAATGTCTAGGCTAAGCCCTGAATGGAAAGAGATTTTTAAGTCTTTATATCTTCATTGCAGTCAATCCCATTTTTAAACATTTATACCTTTATTGCACTTAATCCCACCTATATTCTGCTTTCTAGCAAGGTCAGATTCTTGAGATTGTCTTTTTCTTCCCTCTGTGCAGAAAACCTGGGTAGGGTCTCTCTGGAAAACTTCTGTTTATGATGTGCGCTTGAAAGCACAAGTTCCTTTTACTCTTTGGAATGTAGTGTGGGTGTTTTAAGCAAGACATTCCTGCACTTTAATAGCCCCTGAAATATAAATTCTAGGTCTTAATCTGCCTTTTTACTAGTATTTGTCCATAGAACAATGCAATGGTGATAAATAATAATAACTACAATTGAGTACTTATACCAGACAGTATGCTAAATCCTCTTCATGTATTATTTCATTCACGACAGGAACTATTTTGAGAAGAAAGATGCACTCAACTTGAGCACAAAATTTAAGAGAGTGTCAAAAATTAAGTAATCAAGACAAAATATTTTAATGTAATATTTAAAATATTCAAAATTAATGTGAAAAAATCAAGGGTAAGCAAAATGTCAAAAACATAAAGACAGGATACTTACTGCTGACTTTCCTTTAACCTTCAGTGGTGATATAGTTTGGTATAGCACTGTCACTGATCCTGTCTTTTTAAAAAATGTATTCAATATTCATCATTCTTTTTGCATTATGTTTGACTTGTAAAAAATAATTCCATTAAAATAATTTTATTAAAAATCCTGATCAGGGCCTCCCTGGTGGTGCAGCAGTTGAGCGCTGGGTTGCGAAGCTGCCCGCAGCCTCTGTGGCTTCGGTTTGATCTCCGGCCACTGGAGAGGGTCCCACATGGCGCACAGACCTCTCCTGCTGCCCGCTACTCCCCTCAGCAGTGTACTTCTTCAGTCTGCCAGTTCTGCTCTCCACTCTGGCTCTGGTGAATTCTCTCACCCTCCCCTGCTTCTGACTGTACCCAGTGCTTGTATAAAAAGACAAACAGGGCCTCCCCGGTGGCGCAGCGGTTGAGCGCTCGGTTGCGAAGCTGCCCGCGGCCTCTGCGGCGCCGGTTCGATCCCCGGCTGCTCCCCGGCCACCGGAGGAGGGTCCCACATGGCGCGCAGACCTCTCCTGCCGCCCGCTGCTCCCCTCAGCAGTGTACTTCGGTCCTTCTGCCTGCTCTGCTCCCCGCTCTGGCTCTGGTGAATTCTCTCACCCTCCCGCGCTTCTGACTGTACCCAGTGCATGTATAAACAAAACAAACAAACAAATAAATAAATAAATAAATAAAATAAAAACAGTTTAAAAAAAAAAAAAAAAAAAAAAGACAAACAAACAAACAAACAAAACAACCTGATTGCTGGGCCTTCCTGGTGGCGCAGGCGGTTAAGTGCCACACTGTGAAGCTGTCCGCAGCCTTTGCAGCGCAGATTTGATCCTGGCCAGCTGGCGAGAATCCCACATGGTGCTGCAGACGTCTCCTGTCTCGCCTGCTGCTCCCCTCAGCAGTGTATTTCGTCAGTCTGCCTGTTCTGTTCCCCGCTCTGGCTCTGGTGAATCCTCTCACCCTCCTGCGCATCTTGCCTGTACCCTGGTTCTTGTATAAATAAATAAATCTTTAAAAAATATATTAAAAAAACAGTCCTGATTGCTGAGTTTTTTGATGCTCCCTTAAATTTTGTGCCCATAACATGTGCTGGCCTTGCCTCATTTTAGTCTTGGGTCCTGACTTCCTTCAGTTAGTTCTGGGAACAACTTAGAGGTATTATTAAACCTTAGCAATATTACTAAAGGTATAATTCCTGGACTGCCAGCATTGGTCTCATTTAATAGCATATTTGAAGATCAGGAAAGCTAAATGACGTGTCCCTGGCATTACCCATGTTTTAAAGTGGTGGAACAAGAATTGTTTGTGACCTTAGATCTTTACTCCTAACCCCCATGGTATAATTTTACTTTTCTGAATGTCAGTTTAGTACCAGCTGGTGTTCTCTTCCTGTGAATATGTGGGGTAGACAGGATATGTTAAAAACAGAATAAGAGATAGGAAAATACCCGCGGAGATCTACAGGGGAGGAGTTGTCATACTAATTCCTGAAGGCTGTTCTCCCTGTGAGGGGTTGTTTTTGCTGATTCCACATCCCTGGGCAAACAGCCCACACCTTCTTTCACAGCACAACACTTTGTGATTTTTGAAGACAGATCCTGTCCCCAGAAAAATCTTTCCTTCACAGTTGAAACAGTGCTGTTTTCTTCAGCACGTCCTGATATGACATGCTTTCTGGACTCTTCACTGTGTATATTATTCTCCTCTAGCCAAAATCTAGTTTGTCTTTTTTTTTCTTTTCTTTGTTAACCCAACAATCTTACTGAGTGTTGACTGTCTTCCAGGTACATATTAGGTTTCCCTTAACTCATTTTCCTACCTGAATGCAGTTGTCTGGATCTGCTGTTCATTCTCCCCTAATTGTATTATATTTGTAACTAATTTGTAGACTCTTTGAGGGAAGGGGCTCATTTTTGAAAGTATGTTTGTATAACCTCCTGGATTAGGTCTCAAGCCTCATCTGCAGATCCCATAATGCTTGTTGATGAATTGTGGGTGGACTTTACTCTTTCTGCTAATATGATTGTAGACCTTGCCTGTACTGACCTAAATCTTCTGTGCTATGGTTTTAAACTTCTTTTCAACAATTTCCTCAATGGCAATAGCAATGAGCCATTCACTAATTTGGTACATAGTGATTGTCTTCCAAAACCATGATATTAAGTGTCTCCTAGCCTTTCTGTCTTCCTTTTTGTTTTCCTGGGATGAATTACTTCCTTTCCTTATTAAACTGAGTGTTTGTGGTCTTGCCATAACCTTGGTTATTTTTCAACTCTGAGTAGGAACTAGGAGGAGTTGGAGGGAGTCAGCTCCGTACTTTTGTAATTCTTGTTTCTTGTGTCTTTCATGTCAGATGGGGTCCTTTAAGCCAGGAGGCAGAGTGATCCTGGCCACAGAGAATGATTACTGTAAGCTCTGTGATGCCTCCTTTAGTTCTCCGGCTGTGGCTCAGGCACACTATCAAGGGAAGAATCACGCCAAGAGACTGCGGCTGGCAGAAGCTCAGAGTAACTCGTTCTCGTAGGTATTGCCATTTCCTCTGAGGCCCAAGTGTTGTGTGGGACTCTCTTTACAGAAAGAGTTGAAACGGGTCCTTGTTTTGAAGTCTTCCTCTTAAATTTCTTTTCTCCAGGGAATCCTCAGAGATTGGCCAACGGCGGACCCGGAAAGAAGGGAATGAGTATAAGATGATGCCTAATAGGAGAAATATGTACACAGCTCAGAATAACTCAGGTATCCTGTGGTGTTCGCATACTGTGGCCACATTCTGCATTGGCCTCTTTTACTTTTATTTCTTTTCATGGTAATGGATAGCCCTGAGATTTTGGGATTAGCTGTTGTTTTGTTGAATTGGTCTAGTGGCAGTGTTTATTTCAGCTGGTGTTTATTTCAGGTATTATTTATTCATTTCCTGTTTAGCATATGTTTTATTTCGATTTTAAGCAATTGTTGATGTTTTAAGACCCCTTAGGATAGTTGCTTTATGTTCCTTTTGGTATTTGCCATCTGAGAAATGTGAAGCGCATTCTGAAAATCGGCTGTTTGGTTTTAAACTGCACCAGGTTAAATCCACGTTTATTTGGGACAATAAAAATGATCATAGTACTGTTTTTCAACCAAGGTAGTGAATCAGAATTGCTTGGGAGTTGTTATAAAATACACATGCTTGAACCATGGCTTAGCAAATTTCGGTGAATTTGGAGTGGATCCAGATATGTGTGTTCTGAAAATGCTTCCTCAGTGATTCTGATAATACACCTTCAATTCAAAATTATGAGTATGCAGGAATATTTTCTGCATTTTTCTGATCGTCTTGTGTAGGGAGAGTAGTCCCTCATCTCCCTGCTCCAGCCTTTAGTACATACTCTTACAACAGAGGTCGTTCAATAAAACAAACCAAAAAAAGGACTTGGAAAGGTAAGGGAAGCTTAGGAAGAGGGCCACATAGGATTAATAAAAGTCTGAATAGGATTAACAAAAGTCTGAACATCACATTGATAATTATAGTGAATGTAAATTTATTAAGGTCTTAGACAAAATTGTAAGATTAGATCAGAAACATTCAACTGAAATGAAGGAAACTGAGATAGCTATATTTATATTAGATAAAATAAAAATTAGGACAGAAGGCATTTTAGACTTTGCTCTTGGACCATAGCACATTAAAATGAGATGTCTATAACAAAAATACAAAGAAGAAAAATTTCCCTTTCTTTGGAAATTTTAAAATATTGCTAAATAACTCAAGGATTGAATAATATATACTAGAAATTAAAAATTCTTAGCACTAAATAGTAATAAAAATATATCAAAATTTGTAGGATGCAGTTTAAGAATTATTTTGAATAAGATCTTAAATACTTATAGTAGAGAAAATAGCTGAAAATGAATTGAGCCAGTAACCTGGCTTAAAAAGTCAGTCATGGGGCCTCCCCGGTGGTACAGTGGTTAAGCGCTGGGCTGCGAAGCTGCCAGCAGCCTCTGCAGCGCCGGTTCAATCCCTGGCCGCCGGCAAGGATCCCACATGGCATGCTGACCTCCCTGCCGTGCCCGCTGCTCCTCTCAGCAGAGTACTTTGTCTGTCTGCCTGTTCTGCTCCCCACTCTTGCTCTGGTGAATTCGCTCACCCTCCTACGCTTCTGACTGTACCCAGTGCTTGTATAAATAAATAAAAATTAAAAAAAAAGAAGTCAGTTATGTAGAGAGGAAGAAAATGAAACTGTCAGTAATTCCCCAACATTTTTGTGTAGGCCATTCAAATGTCTTTATGTATTACTGCATTAAAATAGAAATGTGATTATATTTTCTGATATTTTTGTGTTTTGTGTTCTCCTTCCCCCTTACCTTATCACAGACCTCAAAGGTTTATAAACATTGATGAAATAAATGTTCTTGTGGATAAAATTCTATGCAAAATTTCTCAGTATTTTCTTAGACTAGTTCTTAGAATTTTTTATTTTTCAAATTATGCTTTTTTTCCTTTTTTTTTAAATAAAGATTTTTATTTATATATTTATACAAGCACTGGGTCCAGTCAGAAGCACGGGAGGGTGAGAGAATTCACCAGAACCAGAGTGGGGACCAGAACAGGCAGACTGACGAAGTACACTGCTGAGGGGAGCAGTTGCACGGCAGGAGAAGTCTGTCGGGCCATGGGGAGAAGTCTGTCGGGCCATGTGGGACCCTCGCTGGTGGCCGGGGATTGAACCCGCGCTGCCGAGGCTGCGGGCAGCTTCGCAGCCCAGCGCTCAACACTGCGCCACCAAGGGAGGCCCTTTTAAAGTATGCTTTTTAAAGACATTGCTATTCAGAGTTTAGTTTGGCTCTAGAGTAACCTTTCTGACAATAGATGGAGGAATCATTGTAACTTTTTAGGTCAAACTTGTATAAAATTGTGATTTAAAAATCCTTAAATTTTACATTCATTTAAGGCTAGAAATCTGTGAATTTTATTACTTGAATTTAGACTTAAAAATTACAATGATACGTGATCAGATTGTCACTCACTTGGTGAATATTTTGAAGAGAATACATCACTTTTCTTTCTTGATTTTAGCAGGTCCTTACTTCAGTCCCCGCTCTCGGCAGAGGATCCCACGTGATCTGGCCATGTGTGTCACTCCAAGCGGCCAGTTTTACTGCTCAATGTGTAATGTTGGAGCTGGTGAAGAGATGGAATTCCGGCAGCATTTAGAGAGCAAGCAACATAAAAGCAAGGTGTCTGAACAGCGGTACAGGAATGAGATGGAGAATCTGGGTTATGTATAGTGATTTTCGTATTCAGATAGAGCAGCTTGTCCTGCCTGTTGTTTGCCTTCTGTCAATATGTCCTGCTTTGTGGTCCTTTGATATGAGTACATTCCTCTGCTTAATATAATACATGTAACCTGCAATGGTACCATGAGATGTCAAAACTGGGGAAGGGACAGAACGTGCTTCTTAGGTCATCATGCTTTTTCAGGTCAGTTGTGCCAAGCTGCTTAGAGCATGTGACCTACCTACCCCGTGAGAAATAACTTACTATCTTAAAACAAATTCTGGTCAACTAGTAGCCTGACTGCTTAGAGCTTTAACTACTTAAAAATTTCATCTTCTTTTCCAATTTTATTTGTATGCACTGTTAAAAAAAGACTTTGATTGAGTTCTTACATCAGATCACAGTAAAAACAGGTAAGTCATGATTGCAGTTTCCCGAGGCTTCTTTGGAATGACCAGCTTAACCGATACTTTGTCAGTAAGATGCATGATTATAATTGGCACTAGGGTCTTTGCCAGGACATATTTTCTCCTTATCTTGTCCTGCCTTTATTGAAAGGCAGGTTTTAATGGATGCTGACATTTCCAATGTGCTTATGTACTTTGAAACAGCAAAATTTCATTTCTAGTTATGATTTCACACATTTAAATGTCACCTTTTCCCTCCTCTTTTTCTTTCCCAGTTGAATTTTCTTCTCTGGGAAACTCATTTTCTTGTGCCAGTTGTGTTACGGGTTTTTCAAGCCCCATATTTGAATATCCAGTGAGTTTATGATAAATATGACTAAAAATATTTTCTTCTGGATTTAGGAAATGTATATTTAGGAAATGTAAAGTTATGTTTGATTTTTCAACGTAGAGTTATATTGTGATAATAACATGCATTTACATCTTGCTCTCAACCATAACCTTAGATTTCTCTAGATTTTTTGGGCAGAATTTTTAGATAAACTCATTCGTTTTTGTCATATTTATCTCTGTCACACTAGTTCACTGACTGACTGTCCTGAAAAATACCACCTCTTTATTGTTTCACAGATAGGAAATTTTAAAAAGTTGACCAAATTTTAATATTTGTACTAGTTGTACACATGGACTTTGATTTCATTCTTTATAATTCAGTTTCCTTGAGAATGTAATAAAAATATAGATTATTTTGGTATCTGATAATTATGACAGTATTTTTATTTTTTGTTCTAAAAATAAAGAGCTCTAGCTTATGTCTAGATAATCGAATGCAGTACTCTATGAACTTCCATTTATCTGTTTACTACGTAATGTGGATAAGACTGGTGCTCATCCATATTCTTTTTGAAAGACCACCTTCAACAGGTCGTTTATATTGAGCTGTATCTTTGCATTATGGACAGTGCACATTTGATTGCTTAAGATACTAAATTAAAGATAAAACACCTGTTTTTCCTTGAAAATTATGTAGACAAAGTGATGGCAGGAGGAAAATTATAGTCATCATTCTTTTCCTTTAATATTTTGGGATAATTTTTAACAACCTAGGCCTGCATTTTAAAATCAGGTTTCTGATTAACCCCTGGCACAATATCAAGTTACTCTCTTCTGTTGAAGTGGTGGTTTTTGAAGAGTAGAGTTATTTCATAATTTTTTTTTTCTCCGAGGAATGGAAGAATGAAATACTGTTCTGTTGAGAGTCTACGTAAACCTATGACTCTTAGTATGGAAATGTTTTTGCAGTGATCTGTAAAGTACAGTTGATTAGTTTAGGGCAATTTAAAGCTTGTCTTATCGGTCAGTTGTTCATTTTGCTGCTAAGTATAATTTGTTGGTAGATTTTAATATTGTAGTGCTGGCCACTCGGTTCTATGATTATTTAAAATTTTAAGTTTTTCCCTGTGTGTGTGCATGTATGTATACATGTGCATTTGTATGTATATATGTATACTTACATATGTAACACACATGTGTAAAACTATGTATGTGTAGTTCTATGTGATACCATATGGAAAATTCCATTGAATCCTTATTTCAGACAACAATAAAAGATTGTGGATAAGAATTTATATTTTGTAAAAGTGGTGCTCATCCACTTTCGGTTTTTTCTCTACAAGTAAAATTAAAGGAACGATTTCCTCCACTCTTCCTCCTTAACGATTTCATTATATATATATATACAAAAAGTAGTGGACTTGAGGCCTTGATGTTTTTCCAGGCCTTGTGTATTCAGGTTTCCAGTCTCCCAGTGCCCTTAATGGATGTTATGAATGCATAAACGCATTTTCTTTTAGAGAAGAAAGTTAGATTTATAGTGTTATTTCCTACTCGCTATATTTCTTTGCACTGAAAAAGAACTATATGTGTTTGTTTTATATGACACTTTAGATACCATATTGCCTACAATAACTCAGTTTGTTCCTTAATTTCCAAACTCTAGGAAGTGAATAAAAAACTTCCAGGATCATTTATACCCATCCCAAACCAAAAATCACAAATCTATGACAGTGGGTTGTGTTTTGGGCTTGTTACCTTGCAATATTCTCCTGTGTTCCATAGGTGAAACACAAGGTGACAGATCAGGTCATCAGAAAGGAAATGTTTAAATAAATACATCTTTGCATGGTACAGTTTCTCATACTCATGCATCTCTTATAGACAGTGTTTTTTCCGTGTTTAAGACTGTTGTTACTACTGCAGTCAGTGATATGTGATCTCTGTTTTTCATTTTGTGACGTACCATCCTGCTCTGTAATGTGCTTTAGAACTTGCACCCAGTTTCTCTCCACAAATCATGTTATTTCATTTTACATGCTGTGTACAAGGACAGACAGAGGCCGAAACAATGGGAAACCTTTAGTCAAATAAACTAAGTAGATTTTCAGTAATCATCTGCAAGAACTCATAGCATCAAAGTCTCCTCTCTGTAAATGTCTTTGTGTAAATTGTCATTTAAAGTTAATGTTAGAAGATAACAATTAGAACCTCTTTTAAGATATTGAAGGCAAGAAATTGTAAAAGGAAATATTTCATGTTCTTATTAAAAGATTAGATTGCATATGCCTTCTAAGTATTCTTTTAAAAAGGGTTAAGCTACTAAAGTGAGTGTGCAGTGTAATCCTTTTGACTCCACACTGAACAGAAAACACTTTGTTGTTCTTGTCTTTGGATATCATGTACTGCAAGTTGTAAATACGTGCATGTTGTTTTTGTTTGTCTGCTTGTCTCTTATTGCACTGAATTCTGCAAGGTGAATAAGTTTTTTTTTATCCCATTCATTTCAAAAAAGTTTCTTCTCCAACTCTTCCTCACTATTTCCCCTTTTAATTAGTTGGTAAACTTAGAGAATCATTTAGAGTTTTTCAAACCCCAAGACTGAATGAAGAATCATGGCTATTTGAGATCATCCTCTATCTCTCTGACTTCAACAGCTAAAAGGAAGCTTGATCTTCCACCTTGTTTTACAAAGCTGTTCTGCAGAAGTGGTATGCTTATTTATAGCTACTTACCTGTACTTCAAAAAAGGATAAAAGGGGAAAATGTGTGTATGTGTGTGTGTGCCTGCATATACATAAATATTTATACATAGTATATATAAACTTTTAATTTCCCTCTGTAGATAGGTCCAAAAGATTAGCTGTAGGATTTATGATTCCTTCACTCCTTAACTGGCTGGCCCCGTGGATAGTGACAGTTTGAGGACTGTCCCATGACCTGTGTAAAATGAGTCTTGTTTCAGGGGAGACAGGTATTGTTTGGCATAGTACCCTATTCAGAAACACCTAAGAATGGTGGATTTGGAACCTGATCGATCGATTTTGTTACCTCAATGTCAGAACTTAGGCTGGAAGTACTGGTGAACTTGGTGAGGCAGATAGTAAGGACAGTAGCTGCTTTAGAAATAGAGAAATATTATGTTAGTATAGGCAATAGTTGAATGCAGGCTTTTGAACAGATGTTTAAAAAAATTTCTTCCTTACCAACCTTTTTTTTTTTTGAATCAGCCAAATCATCATTCAGGAGTTTCACACATAATAAAAAGTGTTGTGTTGTGGTGTTGGCTTTTTTGACAGTGGATCCTTACCATTGTGATCAAGTTTTGCCAGTCTGGCTGAATGGACAAATAGCTGTAACCATGCAACATTTCTGATAGCTGTTTGACTTTTTCTTCCCTTTATGAATGGGAAGATCATTTGTAAACTCCCTATCTGGGTAACTACCAAAAAATGCTGGTTTCTGGTCTCTTGTGACCTTGTCTCCTTGAAGCCCGGAATATGAGTGCCTTTAGCAAGTTCTAGCATTTCGGAGAGAAGTGGTGATACAATTTTTGCCATTGATCACAATTCATAAAATAGGAGCTTGGAATGGCAAAGGTCTGTGTGAATTCTGTGTTCTACATGTTTTTTTTTTTCTTTTTCAATGTGCTCTTAATTTGATATTGAGTAAAACTTATAATTATTGATCAGGAGCTAGAACTCTGAAAATGAATCCAGTTGTTCCAGACTGGTCAGAGTCACAGATTATTCTATTTCATCTTGATCTGTGTTACATTTATATTTAGAAAATGGTAGTGTGGTGGATTGGAAAGAGCTTGGCGCTAATGTCTAGAAAAGCTTTATTTGAGTTTCTTTAAACTTGTTTATTCTGTAGAGAGGAAATAAGTATTTACAAATGAAGTGTGTGACAAGATCATCATGCATAATAAATATTAATGATGTCTCATCATCTTTTCGTTAAAAAAGGCATCTTCACAAATCAGATTTCAGACCTATTCAGCAATATTTTTCCTACTTCAGTTGACTTAAAATTTTGAATTGTCTGAGTACTTTGACTCTTTAAAACTAAATTAATTTTGACGGTTTGGTTAGAATTCACTGATGAAGCCATCTAGTGCTGGACTTTTGTTCTATAGTAGAAATATCAACTTTCCTTCATATTTTAGTATGAAAATTTTTAAATGTACATCATTGTTGAAAAATTTTACATTATATCCACCACTGGATTCTACCATCAACATTTTACTGCATTTGTATTGCTACATATCTATCCATCCTTCTATTCATCCATCTATCCACTGAGGGTTTTTTTAAACATACATTTTAATGTAAATTTCAGAAAATACCTTTTCCTTAAACACTTCAACATAGGTGTCATTAACTAGAGTTTGGTGTTTGTTGAACATTAATATCTTTATAAAAGCAGTCTATGAACTTGATTAACCTGAGCCAATTAACATACTTTTTTTTTCTCCTGTGAGCTTTAGTCTTCTAGTTTGTTTTTATATGTGTTTAAAGGGAGGGGAGATAACTCCTTTTCAAACTGAAGTTTCTTGGTGTTGGCCATTTAATGCTTAGTTGCCATACATTTTAAAATTTCATGATATAACTTTTTTTTCCTTATTTCTTATGACGTTATTTTTGCTGAATTGTATAGCTACTTTAAAACACTGTAAATTACTGATTGGCATTAATTAAATCAGCTTTATACCTCATTTCAATCTACTGCTGCTTTCCTCCATGTTACCACTTCCCCTTTCATTATCTTGACTTGTTCTACCAGAAAGCAGAGAGAAATAGTCAAACCCATATGTGATTAACTATTTTAAACAACTCTAGAAGGTTTAGGAAGTTGAGGACCATTAACCTATCAAAAGCCTTTGAAGCCCCTGAGAATGGTGACTGTCCTTATGTCCTCTAGCCATAAGTAGCAGGATTATAAATGATTGTACTGTATAATAAGTTGTTGAATTGTGAGCCTTAGTAACCACCTTTAGCTTTATTCTAGTACTGTTTAGAAAAAGTTTGATATATGCCTTTATTTTTGCCAACTTTTTGTGGATACGAATCTGAAGAATTTAAATGACTTGATCCAGATCATGAAACTTCATTGGATAATTCAGTATTGAAACTTTAATGTTCCTGATTCATATTCTTGTGCTTGTTTGGTTAGATTAATGGCTTCCAAAATAACTAAACACTACCTTTGGAGCCCTTAAAATCAAAATATGTATTTTTACCAATTAGACTTTCATCATTCTTTAGACTTGATTTTTTTCATGGTCATAGTCCCTCATTAAGCCAATGTGGTTGCTAAAATATTTCACTGCTCAATAATGCAGGTTTTG